CTCACTTCGTTCCTTTTTTCTGTTACTGCTTTTACCTAAGGGGGGGTCAGGAGCAGACGGTGGGGAACTCTCTGAGTAGGGTTATTGCTGCAGACCAGTTCACAATAGCAACTCGGTGACATCACAAACTCAGTGACATCACAAACTCTATCACTGCCCCCTTTTGTCAATGCACCATTTTCCCTATCTCTTTTTCTCTCTTGCATTCGTTCCTTTTTTCTGTTACTGCTTTTACCTAAGGGGGGGTCAGGAGCAGACGGTGGGGAACTCTCTGAGTAGGGTTATTGCTGCAGACCAGTTCACAATAGCAACTCGGTGACATCACAAACTCAGTGACATCACAAACTCTATCACTGCCCCCTTTTGTCAATGCACCATTTTCCCTATCTCTTTTTCTCTCTTGCATTCCTTTATCTTTTAGGACTTCTGATGCTGTGTAGATCCTTCCACGAATCCTGGGGCTGTGCACTGGCTTATTTGGCCATTGGTGTGTTGTTGTAAGATTTCTTATAAGAACCCACATGTACTGTTTAGCTACCTCTAGTCATTAACCTTTTCTCCAGTCCAATTAATATTTAATTAGTCAGTTATTTAATTAAAGTGGAACAACTTCAGTAGGAGAAATTGAAAGACATACACATTAGACTATCCTGAAACCCCTTGCTTAAGACACTCACCTGAGAGGTGGCAGACATTTGTTCATATCTCTCTTCAATAGGCAGAGAGGACTTGAACTGATGGTCTCCTACATCCTGGGCGAATGCTCTCACCACTGGGCTAAATATTGTAAGGGGGAGTGGGGGTGGACAGCATAGTTGCTTTTTAAGGTGTTGAATATCCTCAGAGCACATTTATTAGCTCAGGCTTCAATGTATGACATAGGCAGATGAAATGCTTCTCTTCCCCATTCATGGATCATTCTGGGTCTCAGGCAGGCATATGCCAAGAGCAGGGCAACAGTGGATGTGCTCTCATACATACCTTGCAAGTGCAACTTAAGTACTGAGCAAATTTAGGTGCCTGTAGGGTTAGACAACAGCCAAGTGGGAGAACTAGGGGTCACCAAATGAAATTAATAGGTAGCAGGTTTAAAGCAAACAAAAGGAAGTTATTTCTTCACACAACACACAGTTAAGCTGTACACCTCCTTGCCAGAGGATGTTGTGAAGACCAGGACTTCAACAGGGTTCCAAAAAGAATTAGATAACTCCATGGAGGATAGTTCCAGCTATGGCTATTGGCCAAAATGGGTAGAAAGGGTGTCCCTAGCCTCTGTTTGTCAGAAGCTGGGAATGGGTGACAGGGGCGGGATCACTTGATGATTCCCTGCTCTGTTCATTCCCTCTGAGGCATGAGGTATCGGTCATTGTCAGAAGACAGGCTACTGGATGGATCTTTGGTCTGTCTGACCCAGTCTGGCCATTCTTATGTTCTTATGCAACGGTGTCTTGAAATGGGACTTACGTAGCTAAGTACCTTTGTGGATCCCAGTCTGATGCACAATTTTGGGGTGGTTCTTCCCATTCAGAAATAATCTGTCTAAAATTAAATTACATTCTATTAATTTTTGTAAGGTTAATAATTAGAATGTTGGAAAGAAGAAATAACCAAATTGTGTGTGAATTTTTTTTTACTCCACCTGTATTTTTTTCTTACATTTTTATTCTGCAGACTTGTGATCCATTCCTACTTCAGAACTGTGCACCAGAATTTCAACTTTCATTTTAAATTTTTCTATCCCTGATAGTCATAAAGAAAACCTGGAAAATTAATAGAGATAATTTAGCATTGTCTTCCTATGTCTGTTGACAGCATGAAACAATAGCCCAGGGGTTTGAACTGCCTCACTCATCTGAAATTGTTAACACTGACAATTGGAATGATAAATTCAATGTGAACAATATTAACTATTCCATTGCTATTTGTATAAGCAGAAACAATTAATTAACATGTTTATTCCAGGTTCTAAAATTTCTTCCCAGAAGAAATTATCAATGTAAATAATAAAGAAACTACTGTACTAATTGTATTACATATTTTCATATTTAATTAATAAAATAACTAATGACTTTTTACATGAAGATGTTACAGAATTTCCAATCTGCTGTGCTAGTGTTGCAGACAAGTTTTAGGTCCAACTTGCTACAAAATGCATTAGTTTTTAATTATTTTAATTTGGAAAGAAGGTCCAGCCCCTGAACTGAGGGTAGAGATACAGTCTATCTACGGGAAAAAAGCCTGTTAGAACTCTGGTTCTCTACCAGATAAGTAGAAGAGGACTGAAGGAGGGGAGGACTACTGATGACTTATAGAGAATGAAACTAGTGGGGAGAGGAGTAGTTACAGTGGGAATTTCGACAAGGAAACCTAGGTTGCCACATTCTTCCCCTGCCCCCTTGCAAAACCTACCAAGACCAGGATTTTTGAGGAAAAGCAAGTGATGGACTTTGTTCCTCTGAGTACATCTAAACTGTAAGTTAGTGGCATGTTGCAGTGCATGTTGTTGCCTAAATCCCTGTATCAACCACACACAGAACCCTGAAATCCTCATGGGCGTATTGAACTTGTGTTCAGCTTGGGGTATAGAGTAAAACAAACATTGGTTTATTTGTGGGAAATCCTTGTGGGGAGAACGGGGGGATTGTTTTTGAGTCTCTCTCTAATAAGCGTAGGGAATTATTCTTGTCTCATTTCTCTTTCTATTCCAGCAAGTGATGAGTTGTGAGTAAACTTAAGGGAAGTCGCTTTCAGGAAGATCCTGAAAAAATGAAAACACGTAGAGCATTGTTGCGAAGATTTAAAGGGAATATTTCCCAGAGTCCTGACCAAATAGAAGCTTGTGAGAATCAGGATAAGTCAGAAAATGAAATCACAAAATCTCCTGGGAAAAGACAGAAAAAATCTCCTTCCCATAAAATAAGTGTCAGGAAACCTGAAGATGATGATCACACTGAGGATAAACCAAACACATCCGATTGTGAGAATGACTCTGTTTTGAGCCCATCCCTTGTTGAGCAAGAAACAGAGCATGTGGAAGAGAAACCCTATCAGTGTTCTGAATGTGGCAAGAGCTTCAGTCGAAGCTCCTACCTTACTCAGCATCAGAGAATCCATGTGGCAGAGAAACCTTTTGGTTGTAGTGAATGTTTGAAAAGCTTCATTCGGAATTCAGACCTGGTTAAACACCAGCGAATCCACACAGGAGAGAAGCCTTATCAATGTAATGAGTGTGAAAAAACTTTCAGTCAGCGATCAAATGTTATCAGACACCAGAGAACCCATACCGGTGAAAAACACTACAAATGTAAGGAATGTGGGAAGAGCTTCAGTCAGAATTCGCACCTCATCGTACACCAAAGAAGCCACAAAGGAGAGAAGCCCTTCAGTTGCGCTAGATGTGAGAAAAGCTTCAGTGATCGCTCATCACTTATTATACACAGGAGAATCCACACAGGGGAGAAACCCCATCAATGTAAAGAATGTGGAAAAAGGTTCCGTGACAGCTCTGCCATTATTCGACACCAGCGAATTCACACAGGAGAGAAACCTTACAAATGCGGGGATTGTGGAAAGAGCTTTCGACAGAGCTCATCGCTTATTACCCACAGAAGAATCCATACAGGAGAAAAGCCCTACAAATGTTCAGTGTGTGATAAATGTTTCAGTCAGAGCTCAGCACTTGCGACCCATCACCGAGTCCATACAGGAGAAAATCCCTATCGCTGTTCGGAATGTGGGAAAACTCGGAATGATCGCACCGCACTTATTTCACATCAGAGTGTTCACACAGAAGGAAAACCTTACAAATGTGTAGAATGTGGAGAGAGCTTTAGACGGAGCTCAGCACTTAATGTGCATCTGAGAATCCACAGAGGAGAGAGACCTTATACATGTGATGAATGTGGGAGAAGCTTTAGACAGAGCTCAGCCCTTGATGTGCATTCCCGAATCCACACAGGTGCAAAACCCTATAAATGTAGTGAATGTGGGAAAAACTTCAGACAGAGCTCAGCACTTAAAGTGCATTTGAGAATCCACACAGGAAAGAAACCCTATAAATGTATTGCATGTAGGAAAAACCTTGATTTGCATTCACATTTAGTATAGCAGGGGTGGTCAAACCATGGCTCATGAGCTGCGTGTGGCTCCTTTACAGTTTGCAAAGCTTGCTGCTGCTACCCCATCCCCAATTTTTCCACCTGACAGACTGGGGTGGGGACTGCCTTGCAGCAGAATGATGCGGTAGGAGGCCTTCTGCTTAGCTGAGAGAGGGCTCTTGGGGCTTCAGCGTCACAGAACACACCTGCTGGGGCTCAGGGATTTAGTGGGAGCAGGGTTGAAGCCTCAAGCTCTATAAGGTACCTCACATGAGCCCCAAATGGTGTGCCCCCTCTCGAACTTCCGAAGATTATCATATGCGTCTCAGAGGGTCAGTACATTTGGCCATCCCTATAGTATAGCATTAGAGTGGCCATATGGAATACAAAATAGTAACAGACATTGGCTATTTGGGGCATGTAAAAAGAGGTGAGGCCCAGATTCATGAAGGTACCCTTCCGCAGATTGGGCTACACTAAAAATCCTGCTAGAACAGGAGGAGCTTCCTCCTCTATAACTTTTAGCCTAATGGTTTAAGCACTTATCCAGGAACAAATGGATCAGCTTCACCATGAGAGATTGAGGGAGACTGACATCAGAATATTTCATAGCCCAGTAGTTTGGGCTTTTTCCTCGGAGATAGTTGATCCCTCTTCAAATATCTTCTTCCCTTCAGGCAGACTAGGGGAATTGAACTGTGCATGAATGATGGGAAACACAGGGAAAGGGAGCAGGCTGTTGACTGATAATTTTGATATCACAGAGAGGTTACTGATGCTAGGAAACTGGAAAGGATGGATGAATTACTTGCGAGGAACTGAGTGCTGGTAGGGTTGGAGATTTCATGGATTACGGGGAGGAGATGTAATGTGGATCTGAGGGATGGAGTGTTGAGTGCTGAATAATTTGGGGATTGGGAGTGGGGATATATGGCAGAATAGAAAGGGAGTTTTAAAAGTATTTTTATCTTATTTAAGTACAAGAAGGTTAAAATGATAATTTCCAGATTGGTTTTGAGCCAGACCTTCAGTTTATTAAAAATTGTAAGCAGTTCTGGGGATGCCATCTCTTCTTGAATTGTGGATAGTGACTGTTATCCTCACTGAATAGAAATCAGTACTGTCATCTAGTTTTAGACCAGGGATTTGGCCTATTCCATTTCTTTGATCTGAAAGATCTGGAGCTGTACCTCTGTCTCTTTTCTTCCCCTTTCCCAGAGATTTACAGTACAACTTCAGAGCTACAGACTAAACAGTCAACCACACACCTTCTGGTTTGTGAACCAGAAGTACACAAACAGCAACAGGGGTGGGGACGGAGGTGAAGAAGTACAATACTGTGTTAAGCACAGTGTTTTGTTTGAGGCGGTATGCCCTGGCACCCATTTTCTCTGAATAACTTAAATGAATTGCATTCCCCTTGGGCGTACCAGCACTTCTTTTCCTGGGGTGGCTGGACTCCCGATGGAAGCCTGCTCGGGACACGTGGCTCTTAAAGTGGACGTGACAGTGTTTCGGCCCCCAGTGGGCTCTTTTTTTTTTCTCTCTCTCTCTTTCTCAACAACTTTCCCCCCGGAGTACTGGCACCTTTTTTTTTTTAATACCAAAAAAGCACTGGTTAAGCATATATTAAAAAGGGGGGAAGCAACATTTTTCTTCATGTAGTAAAATTTCAAAGTTGTATTAAGTTAATATTCAGTTGTAAACTTTTGAAAGAACAACCATAATGTTTTGTTCAGAGTTACAGTCAGCCTTGGTTCCCGAGCTGTTCGTAACTCTGAGTATCGACTACATGTAGTTCAAATGACTCTTACCTTCTTAAGTAAAATTCAGGAGACAACTGGAGTTAAAAGTGAAGAGGTAGCTCCCATAGAGAATGGCTGCATAAATACTTTCATAGAGGGTGTTGTCCATCTTTTCCTCACTAGTAGCTTCTCTAAAATTTGTCTCCTCACATTGAAACACCTTTAGCATGTAGAGCAGATGACCAACAAAACCCAGGCAGTAATGTAACTTTCTCATTGAAACAAAATGAAAGAAGCTTTTGATAATCTTGGTTAGACCCATTTTACATGTTGATTTCCCATTGGAAGCCAGAGACTGGTTCCAGTTTTCTAGTCGTCTTTGTAATGCAGTGTTTTTGTTTCTTTAACTTTTTAATGCTAATAAAATATTTTTAACATATAAAGTATTGCATAATTGCTACATAAAACGTCCTCTCCATATTGTATGTTAGTATTATTGTTGCACTTATTATTGTCAATGGTGTGTCCATATTAAATAAAACCTAATTTCTCCTGTTGTCCCATCTTCTGTTCTTGAATGTAGTAGAATGGAAAGAGATTTTCTTTTTTTTTTAGATTTTTTTCTTCTTTACATACAATCTTCAGTTTGTTAAAAATTGTAAACAGTCCTGAGGCACAATCCTGGCAACATTCACGTAGGCTGTGTCTAGACTGGCCAGTTTTTCCGGAAAATCAGCCGCTTTTCCGGAAAAACTTGCCAGCTGTCTACACTGGCCACTTGAATTTCCGCAAAAGCACTGACTTCCTACTGTAAGAAATCAGTGCTTCTTGCGGAAATACTATTCTGCTCCTGTTCAGGCAAAAGTCCCTTTTGCGCAAAGCTTTTGCACAAAAGGGTCAGTGTAGACCGCTCAGATTTGTTTTCCGCAAAAATGCCCTGATCGTGAAAATGGCGATCGGGGCTTTTTTGCAGAAAAGCGCGTCTAGATTGGCACGGATGCTTTTCCGCAAAAAGTGCTTTTGCGGAAAATTCCGAAAATGCTTTTAACGGAAAACTTTTCCGTTAAAAGCATTTCCGGAAAATCATGCCAATCTAGATGCAGCTATTGAGTTCAAAGGACTGGGGCTTCATCCCTGGGGTGTTTAATAAAATCTGTATGTATATTTAGAGTTCATCTGTCTGTGTGCGAGTTTCTTTGTTCAAGAATTTCTCCTAAATGGTAAGAATTAGGACCACCAGATTTGGTACTCAGCTTTATCTTATTTTAACTTAAAGCAAGGTGAGGGTTTGGTTGACCCAGGAATATGGGATGTGCCTGGAATGGTATTGCTTCTCATAAAACCTGACCGAAAAGAGTGCCACAATATAAGAGTGGCCACTGGGAGCAGTGGGCCCCCAGGGGAGAGCTATCCTGCAGTGTAACTGGGGGCAGCTGCACCATGAAGGGAGTGTCCAGCAGGGTTGGGGCTTTGTCATATTGCCTGCCAGGACACCAGTAAGTAGCCCCTCTGGCAGCTGAGAGGTTCCAGGGAGGGAGGAAGAGGAGCAGCAGGCCGAGCACATGCATGCCCCTCACCACCTTGGAGAGGGGAAGAGCACACGCACCCCCCCATCCCCGGGAGTAGCTGGGAGGGAAGAGGCCCCCGCAGCCCGAGTCGGCCCAAGCCTTCTCCGCCAACAGTGGAGTCTACTGTTTGTCTACTGTCACAACAAGGTGGGTAATGCTAGTATATATAATAGCAAAATTAGTTACCTGTCAATTGTAGGACCTTTGTTAATGAAGCTAATTAAGTAGGCTGGGTGTCCCGTTCATCACTATTGCTGCAAAATGCGAATGTCGAAGCATGGGAAATTGCCTTTGTAGTATGTTAACCAGTTAATATATATTTATTCAAGCCCAAGTTCAGCATTCTCTCTCTCTCTAACTGAGAAGTGAATTTCCTTTGTAGAAGAATGGCTACTTTTAAATCCACTATAGAACAGCCAGTGAAGTTAAAATGTTCCCCCACAGGTTTATGTGTGTAACCATTTCTGATATCTGAGTTATGTTAATTTATCCTTTGTCGCAGAGACAGTCCATTTGGCCAATATATATGGCAGAGACACCTTGCTAGCATGTGATGGTGTGTATCACATTAGAGGATGTGCAGTTGCATGAGCCCTTGATGTGGTTAGGTCCTGTGCTGATGGTATATATGTGGACAGAGTAGGCAATGGGGTTTGGTGCAGGGGTAGGTTCCTGGGTGTGTGTATCTGAAGTGTGGTGTGGCTGCTGGTAAGTATTTGCTTCAGCTTGAGGGCCTGTCTGTAGACGAGAATTGGCCTGTATCCCAAGGCCTGTGAATGAGGGATCATTTTCCAGCATAGGTTGTAGATTGTCAATGGTACGCTGGAGCGGTTTAAGCTGGGGGCTGTAGTGGATGACCAGTGGTGTTCTATTATTTTCCCTGTTGGGCCTGTCTTAAGGAGTTGATTTCTGGGAACTTGTTTTTGGCTCTGTCAGTCTGTTTCCTCCCTTCCCCTGATAAGTATTTAAGTTTTAAGAATGCCCGATAAAGATGTTAAAATATACTTTTTTCATTGTATTCTTTTGGTATACATGGTCATGCCAATTCTCTTCCAAAATATGATCTGAGGAAGTGGGCCTGGCCCATGAAAGCTCATCACCTATTAAACCATCTTGTTAGTCTTTAAAGTGCTACATAGTTTTTCCTTTTGTTTTAGCAAGATCAGACTAACACGGCCAGCTCTCTATTACTTGATAAAGATATTGTAGGTGTTTGTCTGTCTGTGGGATTGGAGCTAGGGATGTTAGCCATCATTTCATTTAGTAATCATGTAGCAGCAAGGGGGTGGGGGCAGGTGGTTCCATGGAGCTGGCTCCCCACATGTGCTGCTATCTTTGATAAAGAGATGGCTCTGTAGGAGCTGATTCACATGGAGAGTTGGCTTGAAAGCTGGCTTCCTGCATGCCTCCGCTCCTACCTGCTCCCCTCACCTTGTGCACTACTGCCCCTCTATCAGAGGTAGCAGCATGGGGGTGAGAGGACAGGTGGTGCCATAGGATAGCGTGTGGAGCCAGCTTTTATGCCAGCTCCCCCAAACACTGGTTTCCGCCTGGCCCTGCCGCCTCTGTGGGAGGCAGCAGGTGGGGGGAGAGCTGAGCACAGGGCTCCACAGGCTCACAAGGGGAGGCAGTTTAAAAGCCAGTTCCCCAGGAGCAATGCTCTAGACACCCACCCCGCCTCCTCCCCCACACAGAGGTGGGGGGGGGGAATGTGCTAATTATTTGGATTAACTGATAAGCCTAGGTTTATATTAGTTAATCCTTTAAACGGTATGTGGTAACATCCCTCTTTGAGGCAACTCCGCTTGTCTCTGAGGCCGTGGCTGTAGCCTTGGCTCTGTGCTGGGGCCGGGGTGGAAGCTAGAGGCATGTAGCTAAGAACAAGGGTCAGCAGGTTGGTGGGTAGGGCGGTGTTTGTGTGACGTCACTTAGTTGCACTGTACGCTCTGTGGGTGGCTGCCAGGGTGCGGGCCTGACCCTAACCCCCAGCCCCGCCCGCTGTTTGCGGCTGCGCGGGCCCAGCTCTGCAGGGGGAGCGATCCACGCGCTGGGGGAGTTCGAGCACGCGAGCGCGCAGCTTCCGGAGCAGCCCGCGCTCGGCCACACCGTCGCGCGTGCGCAGTGCACAGATCGGCGCGTCCTGCCGGAGAGGCGTGAGGCGGTGCTGGCGCGCGGTGGTGTCAGGCGCAAGGGGGCGGGGTCAGGTGGCACCTCCCCCCTCCCGTGTCTTTGGCGCTACGTTCGAAGTGGAGCCGGTGGCGCTGCGCGCGGCCTGGGAGCCGAGGGGGGGGGAGGG